CTACAGATATACTTGTATCTTATTAATAAGCCAGTTCTGAAGTATTTATGAAGTTACTCTTAAAAATTTCTTTTTACAGACATCACAATATTCTATGGACAAGAAGCATCAGTAAACAGGTAGGTTATGCTGGCTGACGCTAAAACTGGAAAGACTAAAATAATTACCCAATGTTCTAGCCGCAATAAAAAAATAACAATGTCTTTAATAGTTTAAAAGATAAATTCTTTACAAAATGTCTGTAAAAATAGAGCTCTATTAAAAAGAAAAAGAGGTTCAAGCCCAATGCATTTCCTAGTTTCTATTGAAATTGAAAGTGGATTTCCTTGGTAAGCAAAATTTTTTTTCTGTGAGAATCAATGGTGGGATGAGGGGGTCATAGGCTTCGTGTTTAAGAAAAAATGTACTCTTGTCATTATCAATTGTAACATCTGCAATTACACTGCAACATTACTATTTATTAGTCATCAAAAGACTTGTTTGCCTAGTATTTCAGATGCCATACAATAATGGTTATATAAAGCTGCATCTCTGAACAGGTTAAATATGAACTGACCTGCTAACACTGAAAGAATTTTTAAAGACATGAGGATAAAACAGATTGGCATTGGAGTTGCACCACAGACTGGATATGGAAAATGAAGGACTACAAAAGCCTAGTCCTTGGGAGGACTAGGTGAGAACAATAAGATTTAAATAATTTAAGTGGGTCCTCTAAAATTTGGTGATGTTGGGTTATAAAACACATGTAAAAAACTTTTCTCCCATTATCAACTTGATAAATGGTCAGAAAAAAACATTTTTAAAAACAGAAGAAGGTTGGGACCAGGGATTTAGCTCAGTGGCACTGTGTCTGCCTTGAAAGCACAAAGTCCTGAATTCAATCACCAGTTCAAAAAAAAAAAAAACAATAGCAACAACAAAAAACAGAAAAAGGTAAAAAGATTCACTCATTAAATCCTTCTGGGTTCTCTATTCAGTCCTTTACCCCAAAGACTTGTCATACAAATGACAACCCTCCAACTTCTCAAAATTAGTATAAGCTAAAGAATGTAATTAGTTCAGAGAAGGCTTTCTTAAATGACACAATACATTTGAAAGGGAGTGGGATCATTATATGCCAACTCTGATATTTTAATTGTTTGCTCCTAAATTATTGAAGTCAATCTCACGAAGCCTATAGGGAGGGGGTTCATCACTGGCCAGAAAAGAAGGAGATATTAGCTAAAAACTTTTGTAACAAGGAAATGTTTTATAAAACACAGTTTTAACAAGTTTTGTTCAATTGAAATAGAAATTGCATCTCTGAGGCATTTTTAACTTCTGAAATATTTATTCAAGAAAAACTTTTGGATAATTACCTAAAAGATTAATTATGAATTATTCCTTTTAGGAATCAGATCTGAATGAGATGCCCTGTGAGAACCATTTACGAGCACAAAAAGGTACTTTGTTGAATGGTAAATAGCTCCAAAGTACCAGAACACACCTGAAGTTGGAAAGTTGTGGGTTTCAAATTCATTTGTGGGCTGGGGATTTAGCTCAGTGGTGCCACTGCCTGCCTCACAAGTGCAAGGTCCTGAGTTCAATCTCCAGTATCACCAAAAAAAAAAAAACAAATCATTTCTGAATTTGAATACATTCTCAAAGATGCTGAAGAAATCTTTCACTAACTAGAAATATTTAATTTGATGAAAATATCTCGGCTTTAAGAAAAAGCACAAAGTCTATAAAAAAGAGTAGTTAAGCTTTTTCAAAAATATGTAAATGGGGCCGGGGATTTAGCGCAGTGGTTCCGTGGCCTGCCTTGCAAGGGCAAGGACCAGAGTTCAATCCCCAGTACCAAAAAATATATATATATATGTAAATGTTTATTTTCTGTCTGTTCACTAAACAAGGATAGCAGACATGTAGACTGGTAACTGAAATGTAGTATAATTTGGAAGTTCTAGGCAGCAGGAGATAAATGATGAGGAAGACTTCCCAATAGTAATGTTCTTGAGCTACATTTAGAATAGAAGGACTAGCATGGTAGCTATCATTCAACACAGTCCCCAATCATTCTTGCCTCTTGATATTCATATGAATTTTTTTGCAATTTGCCAAGTTGGAGACAATTTGTTGCCCAGCAACATATAATTAGTAAGAGCAAAAGATACATCAGACAAAGAACAGCATATACAAAATTAGCAGACAGGGATAAATCTAGAAAGTTTAGGTAAACAGTATAAGATAATTAAAGTAAAAAATGATGACACTAGAGAAATAAGCAGAGACCAGGACCAGAGAATATTTTCTGCCTAGCTAAAGAATTTGGATCTTCTACTATGGCCAAGTGAGCAAAGAAATTACATGACTTGATTCAAATTTTAAAACAAATACTGAGTATTTCTCTGAAATTAATTGGCAAAGAGAAGGATACTAAGACTTGAAGCTCTCTTAACAGGGAGATCAGTTCAAATGTTCATGAAACAACAAAAGAGAAGAAATGAAGAGGAACTCCTGCAAGCCTATTATTTTAGACATAACCAAAGACACAACCTAATCTATTGACTTCATCAAGTGTAATTTCCTCCTGCAACCAGATATACAGATGATGTTCAGGATCATCCTCATCTAAGTTATACTTCCTTACTACTGAAAGACAGAAGCACCACTTCGAATACAAGCTGCTACAGACAAATATCCTCATTTAGTCCAAGTTACTGCTTAAGCACTAGTGGCTATTCAGCCTAATCATCAACTCTACCACAAGAATGAGGAAGTAAATCTATAAACATCCAAAGGCAATTGCTGAATTTACAACCAAGAACAAATGACTTAATGCCACTACCTCTTCTCCCACCATACCATTCAGACAGAGGTCTTTCTTCGGGGCCTTACTTTCATAAAGACCATCTCCCTCTTTGCTGTTTGAAACACTTGAGTCTCCTAAGGTGCCATAAGCCACTAATGATTCTCAATGATGCTACCCTGGTGCCAGCAAAACTTTTCATACCTGAGACAGTGTATTTTTCTCTCATCACAATATAGTCATTCACAAAAATTAAGATTCTGATAGAATGATTCCATTTCCATAATTTTTAAAGTAAGTAAACTCAAACTACTAAACTATACTGTTTAAGGATGTGTTCATCACTTTTTAAAGATATAATACCCATAAAAATGCAGACTACTGGTTACTTCTGAGGAAAAAAGAAGGTTTTTGACAATGCATGAAATACAAGAATTTCTAGAACATTGTAATGTTCTGTTTCTTAATCTGGCCACTGGCTTTAACATTATAAATTAGATTGTACACTTGTATTATGTGCTTTTTCTATGTACTGCATTCATTTCTCAAAAAAATTTTTTTAAATAAGTATTTATGAAAAGGCCTCTGGGGCCAGGGATTTAGCTCAATGACACCACACCTGCAAAGACCTCTGAACTCACAAAAAAGTTTTAAGTCATGATGTGTAATATATATGCAAAAAAAAAAAAACTATTAGAGGACAAATGAACTAGTAAATATGTAGTTTTTTAAAAAGTCTATCCCACCAAGGCTTTCCTCCTAACCAAAACAAATATTGTCTCCTGCATCAGCAAAAATTTAAACAATTACATCTACTACTAGTGAACATGGTAAAACTGGTTCCCATATTCTTGATGCTGTCACTGTAAAGCAATATGGCCTTTTGATTCAGAGATTTTGTCAATCTCTTAAACTGAAATAGGAGAAAAGTTAAAAGCACAAAGCCATTCCCTTCTGTTATTTTTAGGCACGTAGAAAAAAAAATAGAATTGACATAATCAATAGCAACACTGCTTACACAAAATTATGTAGAATTATCTGGACCTATGTTACCCTTTAATCATTATGATCATTGTGGCTATATTTTTTTTTAAAATCTTTCTAGAATATATAGTTGTCCATCAGTATTACCCACAAGGCACTTGTTCCAGGACCCCCTGTGGATAACAAAATCTGCTGATACTCAAGACCTTTATATAAAATACATATAACTCATGCACATTTTCTCACATACTTTCAATCATCACATGTAGTTTATGTGCGAATATTATGTCATTTACATTAGGACATTGACCATATGCAAATTTTGTTGAGGGGTATCCTGTAACCCAACCCCTGCAGATGCCAACAAACAACTATACTTGCATGTTTTTAAGCAAAGAAAAACAGTATGTAGGGACAGAGGGAAAAAATTCAAAATCCTATGTGTTACAGAGGATCTTTATATTTTTTAATTTTTAAAGCTTTTATTACTTGTATGATTTTTAAAAATTACATATAATCTTAATAACTGAGGAAAACTAGTTACTCTTCTGAACCTAATTTAATCAAATAGTTAATAAATTCCAGTTAACCAAAGATACCTCAATCTTTCTTCTAAGATACAGCAAATTTTCTTTTCAGCATCTATTTAAGATTATTCCCTGGCTTTTTAAGCTATAGTTTTACAGCTGTTCTATTTTGAAACCAGGTTTTATTCTGCCACATACTTATGCAGTCAATGTTAAAACCAGCACTTCTATAGTTTATATCTGATTGATAACATCAACTTCTTTCAGAGACAGTTAAAATGAATCAAATATAGTTTCTGTATGACTAAATATGTGCGTGCGTGCATGCGTGCATGTGTGTGTGTATACTGGCAGTACTGGGGATTTAACCCAAGACCCATGTACTGAGCTACATCGCCAGACTTTTTTAAGTTTTTTTGAGAGGGGATCTAACTAAGTCATTAAAAGTTGCCCAGGCTGGGCTTAAACTTGTGATCCTTCTACCTCTCAAAGTGCTGGATATACATACAAGTGTCCACCACCATCCTTGGCTATACCCTCCACTCCTGAACTATCCATTAACTCGCACTATAATAATTAAAATATTGCACTTATATGAGAAGTTGCTACCCTGCAATTACCTTAAAATCTGCATGTGTGTTCCAATTACCATAATGAAAAACTAATATAGGGAATCAATTTTCAAACACACTTACCAGGATGATTAGAAATGGGAGGCTGGAATGCAAGCTCATTGTGAACTGGCCCTAAAGAAAAGACAATAAAAATCCCATTTTTATTTATTAAAAGGTTTCCAATTTTAAACTTTCAATAAACCTTAAATATAACTATCATACCTAGAATTTAATTAGATCAAGCTTATGCAAAGTCTAAGAATTTAAAAGCTTTGTTTAGGTTACTTTATAAACATATACTAGTGAATTATTTTTATGGCTAACAGCTAACATTTTAATACTACCTGCCAAGGGTAATTAAGCAATTTACAAATAAATGACATACAATATGTAATGCAAGTTATAAATGATTCATAATATAAAATATAATACAGTATAATTCATAATACAATATATAAAAGTAATTTATATCAGGACTATTCTGTTTATTAAATAAAGGATATTTATGTAACAGAGCAGTAGCTAAAATAATTAAGTTTTTGTGTTAAGACACTGTGCTAAAAATCACAAGTGAATTATTAAATTCAAACTTATTACAAGACCATACACACACACACACACCAGTAGCATGATTCTCCCCTTCCAGTTTGTAAAAAACCACTTATATAGCTAGAAGAAAAATAACAAAATATTTAAAATGACTATTCTCTAGATGTCAGGATTCCAGGTAATAATATCTATGTTTTTCAGTATTTTCTAACTTTTCTTTGATACTATTAATCTTCAAATGAGAAGAAAAGGTATTTTACATATATGGAAGATTTATACTCCTGATTTTACAAGCCAAATGAATAATGTTCCTACTCTGCCTGAAACTACAAGCTATGTGTAAAGGTAGCACTTCTAATCATGCCTGCATAGAATATTGTTAGATTCAACATCTAAGTATCTATGGCACTAAATATTATGGTAAGGGAAATCTTGAGATCACAGCAGTCAGTGGGTTTCAATCCACTATGGGTGGATATAAAAGATACACATGAGATCTAAGAACATATACAAAAACAAACAAATGAATGGAAATCAATGTGGTGTTTATGAAACATCAGCAACAGAAAAATAAATGTATTTAGTGAACATTACTCTAAAATAAAGATATAACTGTAAATAAAAGTTTACCAAAAACACTGAAAAAATAGTAAATATTTAATGAATATATAATATTTAATGATCTGTAGGGTGAATAAAAATAGAAAAATGTCTTATAAAAGAAAAAGACCTTACAACAAAAAAAGAGCTTACAGTAATGTCCGGGATGGGGCGGCATAGGCGGGTGGTGCTGAAGATGGCCGTTTTGGTGGTGAGGCAAATTAGGTGTGTATGGTGCAGTCCTACTTCCAGTCCAGGTGGTAGTGCTGTCTAAAAATTAAGGCCCACATGGATTAATTTGCTTTTATAAAGGCTGCCTATTTTTCTCAACTATGTAGAAGATTTTAAAAAGCATGTACATACTATGATGGTAAGTTGCTGGCTGACCAGTAAATCCATTCTGCTGCTGTCCTGGCTGAGGCCCTGAAGCTATCTGCAACAGTCCTTCACTATGACTGCCTGCCAGAATACTGGCAGGCTGACCTAGAGAAACAAGAAGACATCAACATAGTACATTATAGATGCAATCCTATCATTTCTTACAGTAGGTGGACCAATTATATCTGATAATCCACAACTACCATACAAAGACAAGCCAAAAGTGGAACTCACCCTGCCTCTCAAAAAACTAATGGCATGTATGAGCCAACCCTTTACTTGAAACTAAGTAAATCTGCCTAATTTTGGTGGCCTTTTTTTTCCCACAAATATTTTCTTCAAGTGCCAGCAAAATTCCTTTACATATCTAGCTAATCATAACAAACTCAGAAGCACAATAGTTCACCCCCAGCCACTTTACACAGCTCTCTGGACTTTTCTTACTAAAACCCTCCATAAACACAGGCTTAAGAAAAAGTTGAAAAGTAAAAAGTTAATTATTATCAGCACTGGTCCTGGTAATAGCAATGCTAGGGTTTGATAAAAGCAAAGCAGACAAACACATTAAATAGGAGGTAACAGGTAAGATGAGAAAATTAAAAAGATTTAGCTCTACTGTGCAATCAGCATAGCAGTTGTTTTTTTTTTTAAATCTATCAACTTTGACATTTTTTCATATACATATAAAAACCCAGAGTGAGTATTTTTTAAAAATATTATATTCCCAGATTTATGTAAAATCACTTGCCATCTCTTTATGTAATAAAGAAGACTAAGCTTTTACCCTACTCAAAAAACCATTATATGCTAATTCTTACTGTCTGGCATTTTTTAAAGCTATTTTTAATTGGAAAAGGATTTTTTCTTAAAGCATTAAGTCAACTATCCCATTTAGAAGGCACTGAGATATCATAATTGTTATCTGTCACTGGCATCACTTCATTTTTTTCTCACTTAAGTGGGACTAATAAGAGTAAATGTCACCACTGCTCAAAGTATCAGACAAAAGAGCGTTTCTGTCCTCTTTGTATCTCACATTTCTTTAAAAGTATTTCAGCATCCCCTAAATTATTTTAAAGATGTTTTTAGCAACTTCTCTTCCTACTCCTCCAAAAATAATTCTACAAATTATCTTTAAAGTTTAATTACATCTTTGCTCATTTTTAACACCTGTACATTCTATATATACTTAACTAATTTACAGAGACTGTTAATACACATGAGAAATTAAATGATTTTCATTTACAAATACAGTATTCATAAAAGACCCCAGACATTTGGCAACAAAATAAGAATAATTTATAAAGTGACCCACTGCAATTATCTGTACTGAATTATTTCCATTATATAATTCCAAGATAGTTAATATAAAATCAGCTCATGTAAAATAACCTTCCAATGCCTATATTTTAGTCCAATTTATTTTCTTCCTTTTAAATATAGGTTTTGAAAATTAAGGGAACACTTTACCACTAGTTCTAAAACATACACTATATATTATTCAACTATAGAGATCTACCCCCAAAAATAACAAGACAAAATTAAATACAATTCATTTATATTACTTCATCTGGTCTAGGATTAAGCCCACCCATGACAACAAAACAGTCAAAATGAAGTCACATTAGTAAGCATTAACAAAAACACAAAAATTCAAGCTCCAAATAACAAAGAGGTAGATGTCTGTATGCTAGCACTAATCTACACTCAAGTGCTATCATCTATTTTTTAATGCTCCATCAGTACTCATTCTGTTTGTCAATTACATTCTCAAAATATAGACAGACTACAAAAACACAGGTAACACAAGCACCAATTGGTTAAGGATTCTAAAGTAAATCTAATGAGCCACTTGAAAATACGCTATGCACAGTGAGATTGTCACTTCTCATGAAGCAAATCAAAAAGGTATCAGAAAGTGAAGCTGTGATATGCTTGAGTTGAAAACTTAGAAAAATCAATCTCAGCCAGGTGTGGTGGCACACTCCTGTAATCCCAGCACTTGGGAGGCTGAGGCAGGAGGATTGCTGTGAGTTTGAGACCAGCCTGGGCTACACAGTGAGTTCCAGGTCAGTCTCAACTACATAGTGAGACCCTATCTCAAAAAACCAAAAAAAAAAAAAAAAAAAAGAAAAGAAAAATCAATCTCCTACTTATTCCAAAGATCAAAATATCAATGTTGAAACTGACCTGATATTAAAATAAATAGAACAATGGTTCCTCTGGTAGCAACTAACGAAGAATCAGTCCAGATCAGTAATCTACTGCTGATGTAGGCTTAAGTATAATCTTTTTATCAACCAGGTCAATTAATGCCATGCACATACCAAAACAATGCTATATAATTCATTTAAATAAAACAAAACACTACTACTCTACTTGCCAAGCAGCAAATGTTCTACTTCTGAAGACTAAAAATAAATAGCAATACAAAGAAAAATAGGTCATATTGTCTTAAGCTCCAGGAAAACCTGAACTTGGACCCCAGAATGTAACTCAGTGGTAGAGTGCACCCTAGCCATGTAAAAGCTCGGATTTCAATCCCAGCACAAAAAAAAAAAAACAAAAAAAAAAAACAAAAACCAAACAAACAAAAAACTTGAATCTAAGAGCTGTTAACCCTTCTACCATGGGAAGAACTTTTTTAAACAGACTTCTCATTTTGAAAAAGAAAAAGATTAAAAAACAAGGGAAAAATACGTGAATTTTTAAGTTAAATAGTATCAATGGGGGGAGATGTTTCGTGTAATAAACAAGTTTGTCAGTATCCCTTTTTCCTAAATGTGCACAATGGGAAACTGAGATGACTATTATAAAAACATAAAGCATTATATAAATCTCACCCAGGTAGTCTCTCCCCTTCCCCCTCTCTCCTCCCTCTTCTTCCCTCCCTCTCCCAGACTCCTTCCCTACCCACTCCTGAACATTTTTGAGGTAGCCTGGCACCTCTTTCCCACAATAAAACCTTGCCTCGGGGGAAAAAAAAAAAGCAAAATAGGAATACTGAACTAAAATAAGTACTGCAATCCTATTAACACCAATCCCTACAAACCTGATTTAAAACTATTTATTATTTAAATATTTCTCCAAAGTCTATCTGAAAAACTTAAGATGCTTCTTTCTTCTGCACATACTAGTAAAGTACAAATTAGATCATTAAGTCAATATTATAATCAAAGTCATTACTTAAGCCCAAGTAATTATACATCAATATAAGAACATTTAAATCCAACACCCATTTAATGTTTTTCTGGCTACCTCTAGAGCACTGGTAGTGAACCTACGGCACATATGCTTCAAGTGAGCTGCTGAAAGCTCTAAAAGGCATGCCATCACTGCACTAGAGGCTGGGGCATGTGACCCAGTGGTAAAGCACTTGCCTGGCAAGCAGGGGCCTCTGGTTTAAAGCCCCAGCAAAAAACACACACAAACAAACAAACAGTGGGCAGAAGGGAGCAAAGAGGAAAGGGTGGGGTGGGAGGGAAAGGGAGAGACATGTAAATTTATTTGTGAAAGGTATCACAGTACTTTAAATTTTTATTTGGAGTTTTCTACCAAGTGACTACCTATAAATATTCACTGATTAGGAAAATGCAATTTGCTGATTATATTTGAATACATAACTCACTTGTAGAAGCCACAGGAATGTTGGGAAAGTTTGTGGTGCTGGTAGCATTAGACTCAGATGGGGCCAACAGAGCTGGAGTGCTGTAAGTCTCTGTCGATGCACGATTACTTGGTGGATGCTGTATGGTTTGAATTGAATGTCCTTCAGTAGATAACGACGGCTGTCCCTCAAAGTCATGAACATATTCATCCTTCACCAACATACTTGGTGGAGCTATGCAAAAAATGAAGTATGTTTTAAAATTTTATGTTTCTATTCCTAGAAAAAAAAACTTATATGCAAGTAACATGACAACATCAAACATCAATCATATTTGAAAGTATATTACTTTATTAGCAAAAATAAAGAGGCAGTAGCATCAGATATACTTTCTCAATTTGAATGAATGAAATCTGAAGCTCGACTATACCTCAGTAGCTTCCAGAAACATTCCTAAAGAGGTATTTATCACAGTATCTTCTTAAACCTACAAGTGTTATCTAAGTTCATAAGATGAAGTGAGCAAAAACCAAACATCAGGCAAAATATTTCGCTGAAAAGACCAAATATTCAGACAAAGCTGAATTGGAATACATAGAGTTTTTTAAATTTCATACTGTGGAGATATGAGTGGGATCTGACAATTATCCATTTCTGGGATCTAGAATTATTGCTAACTTAATATATTCTTTGAAACTTAACTATACTAAATGTCCCCTACAGGTTTAGAATCAAACAGAAAAGTCCTAAAAAGATCAAACTGAAATTTCTTCTAGAAATCTAATTCAAATAAGGATGTTCGAGTGGCCTGCCTTGCAAGTGCAAGGACCCAAGTTCAATCCCCGGTACCCAAAAAAAAAAAAAAAAAAAAAAAAAAGATTTTTTAAAAAAAAAAAAAAAAACAAAAATTTTTTTAAAAAAAAAAAAAAAAAAAAAGAAAAAGGATGTTTGATAAATATATTAAAAAACTCAATAATCAGTACGTTTCACATATATGCTTGCAGTTTAATGAGCAAAGCTAAACTTTAGCTGAGAAAGCATAATATCATTGCATTAACAAGTTAGAGAATAGTTAGTCATAATGTTAGTTTTCTGCCCAGGACTTCCCCAGTTTGGGTGCTATTGTTTTAGGGTTTGCTTTTTACCTCTAGCAGAACAATCTTTTTCTCTTTCAGAACTAACACTACTCCAGAATTTTACAACCTACTGGATTTCGGTATTACAGTCCACAAAGACATTCATTCCCCTTTCCATTGGGAACCAGCATATGAGCTGGGCCACACTGCATGTCTATAATCCCAGTATGGAGAGGCTGAAGCAGGAGGATCACAAGTTCAAGCTCAGGATCAGTAACTTAGTGAGAAGCTGTCTCAAAAAATTTAAAATGGCCTGGTATGGGAGGGATGAGCGCAGGGGGGGGGGGAGGGAAGGGAGAAACAGTATCATTTTTATTTTTCCCTATGTAGATCTTTGGAGAAAAAAATCTCACACATAATTATCAATTCATTACAAGGCTGTTTTTTACTAAATTGAGTCAACTCCAAAGCAGCGAGAATAATCCACTGAGTTTCTATGCAGTCTCCTAAAATTTTTTTCATGCATCAAATTCCACTCCAAAGTTTCTCTTTAGAAAATTCTATAGAAACAAAAAGATCATCAAAAGGATGCTTAACACATCATTGTATATTGGGAAGAAACTGGTCCTAACCATTCATCATTAGCATTAATTATAAAAATAATAAAAAGAAAAGGTTGTTTCAGGCAGAAAGCATGTCTGCATCTAATCAGTTTTTTATTATACCCTTCAACAAAGTTCTGAGATTTTCTTCATTATAAATCTTGACATTTCTATTTAATTCCAGGACATTTTAGGGTTTCTGTTGCTATATAGACTGAAATCTTTTCACCATTATGCTGGTATTGCTAATATAAGGATAAAGCTACTGGGGTTTGAGACTATAACTAGACAACTCAATACTTACTGCTTCTGCCTTTCAGTTGACTCTGAAAGGGCTTAATAGGCAGTCATAACTTCTCCAAGTATCAACTGTCTCCTACTTCAAATAGCCTCAGAAATTTTCATCGCTTTAATATGTTGGCTAAATTTCCCCAAATGGAAGGTTGGAACCTCTACCATCTATGGATCTTTTCAATAAAATAATCTAAAATATGTTTCTTGGATAAAACTGATGGTATCAACAAGGATAGAAGTTTACAACATATTTTTTGCCAAGAGAAAAAAGCAAGTTACAAAATATTACTATATATTGTGACCACATGCATGCTTAAAAAAAAAAATCCTGTGAAAACTCAAGGTTTGGAAGAGTGTACACAGTATGCTTTGTGTGTAAGAAAGGAGGGAAATAATACATGTATCTTTTTCATAAAGAAACCCTGGAAGAAAACATCACAAACTAATAAAAGTGATTACCTGAGGTAGGGGGAATGGGGGCAGGGGTGGGAGTACTTCTTTTCACTGTATACCTTTTTATACTATTTTGATTTATGGACCATATATTGCCTATTCAAGAAAATAAAATTTCTTGAAATATATAGTATATATATTTTAAAGTCTAAAAAAAAAACAGACACCAAACTTAAGTATTTCTCTTATGGGCTAGCATTCAATAAATTCATTCATTTTAAAAAAATTTTTACAGGGCCAGGGATTTAGCTCAGCGGTTCGGTGGCCTGCCTTGCAAGCACAAGGACCTGAGTTCAATCCCCAGTACCAATACATACATACATACATACATACATACATAAATAAATAAATAAATGTACTTAGCACCTATGTTCCAGGTACTATTCTAACACTTGGGATATATCAATAACAAAACAAGTATGTCTGACCTCATGGAATGTAAGGCTTTTGTAATTTTCCCCTGTTCTTTAAACTTTTAACAGTAAATACATTATTGCAATTCCTCCCAGCTGTCCTAATTTTGGGGAAGTTTCTTGACCTCTCCTTATCAGTCTCTTCATCTGATGAAGTGTGGATAATCCTACCTACCATGTAGAAGCATTGTGAGAATGTTGACACCATACTCATAAATAATCTAGCTTAGTTCTTGGCACATGAGTTCTCACTAAGTGTTAGCCTTTACTATTTAAACAATTTTTAGCACAATCACACATATATAGTGACTGTAAATGTTCTATGAAAGGTAAAGAATGTATGCGGTACAGATGAAAACAAAGCTGAAGGCATAGGGCTTACCCTATGTTATCACTACTAGCAGTCAGGCCACAGCACTTATCTGATGGTATTATTGCTTTCTTACTTTTTCTTCTCTCATCAGACTACAAACTGAGTGGAGAAAACATGTCTTGTTTACCTTAGCATCACTAGAACCTAACACAGTACCAGAAAATACATGCTCATTAAATATTTGTAAAATAAATACACAGGTCAATGTGGTCATGGAAATTTTCATGAAAAAGGAGATAGGCTGGAAATGATTACTGCAATACCCCAACTCTCATAAATAAAAGAACCATTCCATTTTCTTAACTTTTAGTTACCTGGCCTTGTCCAAATCTGAAAAGATCTGTGAAAAATACCTGTTGTCTAAGGAAATAACCCATTCAAGACTGCCTTTATATAGCTACCACTAGGGGGGCCCAAAAGGCTGAATATAGCCATAGAGCTCCTAAAGACAGGTTATCAATCCCATTAATAACAAGCAAGAATTTTAGGATGGGGAGAAATGCAAGGAGCCTTCAGAATTTGGACCTCTCTCACAAATACCCCCATAAGATACTATTACTGTAGTTTCTCAATCCCTAATAACCACTGAACTAAATGCTTTATTTCTCCAAAAATAGGGATGGAGAATGAATGAACATCAGAAGAATGTTTACTTTCAAAGAAGTGACAAGATGTCAGTGTCTGTGTGGCAAAGAGGCAGGCTTCAAGCATCCTTAAAGGTACCATTCCCAGACTACCATAGCTCCCATTACCAATTTGCACTTCCCAGAAATCTGTATCATTAACAATGATGTGCCACAAGGCACTAGTCTTCCTCTATTATTGGGAAGATGGAAGAAAAATGGAAAATAAAAATATAGGTTTGCATGATATTCATAAGGTCACATGGTATTTATGATCCACCTCTGAAATTCTCCAAAGAGATGCCAAGCCACTAATTTACCTCCAGAATAGCACACCTTTCTATGGAAAGATGATTGTGCTTATCTGAAAATTAATTTGTTCTTATAGATTTAATTTCATTAACAAGTTCTAAGTAACAGCTAAAGATTTAATAGAATTCTATTTTCATGTGTTACACTAAAAAATAAAAACATACTTCAATGGTTTTCTCACTTCAAAACATTTTTTTTTCTTAAAATAAAATTAGATCAGCTGTGATCAGCATGTAGTTTAAAATAGCCTTGTTTTATTTACATGAAATATAAAACTGGAAAAATACTAATACTTTAATTTTAAAACATTCTCAACATTATCATTAATAAAAGTAAGCTAGGGGCTGGGTGTGTAGTTCAGTAATAAGAGGTTTGCCTACCGTGTACAAGGCCATTGTTCAATCCCAGACCTCCAACACACCCCCAAAAGCACAATATTCTCATTTTTCAAGGACATGTTACCACACATTGCAGGTACTTACACTCATTTAAATTGGCTCTGTAAGATTTTCTTCCAAAATAGTTTCTAATAATATTTAAAATATTAAAATGAATATTGTGGTAGTGTTTTTGATGCCTACCATATTTTTTAGAAATCTTTAATTAATAAGTGGAAATTCAAATCCAAACAGCCAATAGCCGATTCAAATAGTTTTAAATGCTGATGAATATTCCCAAAATAACCTACATTTTCAAAGTAATTTTTCTTGTTATTGTTACTTATACTTACTTCTACATAGTACTTCTATGTGAACACACACACACAAAATTAGAAAGGTCAGGATAAAAGAAAAATAAAGAATGTTACATGAAACATTTTACCTACCATTACTCTGCAGTGTTAATCCTGAGAGATCTTAATTTTTTTAAAAGAGGGGGAGAAAAAGGAACACAAATCATTACCATGAACATATCTTCCATTACATTCTAAATTACAGAATATAATTTTAAGCCAGAGATTATAAAACTTCATGAACGATTTCACTTCAGAAGTAGCATAATTTCCATCTAATATATGTAAAATCTATAATGTTTTTCATTTTATTCTTCAGAAACAATGGTGCCAAATGGACGAAATATCAATTATATGTACTTAGTTTTAGCAGTCAAAATACAAGTTTGTTCCCAAGTTCAGATTTAAATACTTATATTTAATTAAAAATGTCTGATTCTTTAACCTTACTTGAAGTCTCAGGTAATGTCCAAATATATATAAAAATATATAATTAAATTTAGAAAAATTAAAATACAACTTGGGTCTTTTCCCTTTATGTGTCTAAGGATAAATGCAAAGTCTACTTACCAATTCCAGGGGATACAACTCGTTCATAGTGATATGGATTCACACAGACACTATCACATTTTAAATCAAATGCATACTGACAATATTTAACATGCTTCAGTTCATTTTTGTGAAGATCAGGCCACCTCCACAGTCGGGCATAGATCACATGAGGAAATCCTTTCCGACCAGCCACCTGGGAAAAATAAACAGCCATTTATTAAGCACAATAGTACGTCACACATTATGCATGTTCTCAATCCTACAAAGTCAGTTTTTGTGATACTGTAAAATACTCATTTGGTTTTGTCCTCATTTCCTGGCATATAACTCCTAAAATCTTCAATCTACCAAGTCAGATACTAATGAGTTCACTGATGACTGGCAGCTTCTAGGAAGATTGGGTATTCATAGGAAAGACCAACAAGACAAGACCTCCAGGAAGGGGAACAAGGTTATACACAGCTGACAACCACTCAACAATGATTTTACCAACCATGTCTATTAAGGGAGCTTCCATAAAAACCCAAATGAACAGAGTTGGGAAATCTCCAGGAGATCTGGACAAGCGGCAGCTCCTAGGGTGTGGCACGCCTGGAGAGAGGCTTGGAAGCTTACCTTACCCTAAACATCTCTTCATTTCTATCCTTTGTGATATCTTTCATAATGAACTGGTAAACATGTTTCTGTGAGCAGCAAGAGCAAATTAATCAAACTCGGAGTGGATAGAACTGAATTTATACCTGGTATATAATAAGGTGGGGAGACAGTCTTGGAGAGTAAGCCCTCAATCTGTGAGATCCAACACTATCTCTAAGTAGACAGTATCAAAACTGAATTGAACTGAGGATGCCTACCTAGTGTCCCCTGCACAATTCTTTCCTTGGTTATGGGTATGAAGAAATGTTCACACCTTTGAGTTCACAGAAGTGATCTGTGTCACAAGCATATACTAGGAAAAACTGAGTTTTAGGGGCTTTTCCCCCTCTATTCAGAGTACCATAATCTCTATTTTATAAACAAGAAAATTAAAGCTCAAAATAACTAACTTGGCCATCATCACATATCAGAACTACAATTTGAACTTAGGTATAATTTTAAGGCCTGTACTGTACTCAGGTTTTTAAAATTCCAAAGGTATGAATTTGTTATAGAAACTATGCCTGAAATCTAGAAAAAAAATTTTTATATCTAATAACACAAGATCTCTAAGTTTCTTCAACCACAAATGTATTACACACAGTTCTACTTGACAAATGTGACCAGTGAAATATTTGGCTTCAATGAAACATTATTATCATATCTCTAAATCATAAAAGGAGCAAGTATAATCCAGTTTTTAAAACGCATATACAATACCCTCCCCCCAAAAAGGCTTCAAGGATGAAAGTGATAAAGGTTGCTCTATCAGAGTATGGGGTTTTTTATGCCTTTTATTATTTTCCAAATTTCTTCACTGAACTATTTTTCAGTCAGAATATCAAAAACTTGTAAGACAGATCTTTTGTATGTTCATCCATGTACTCCCATAATGCACATTGGTACAGAATGCACCATATCTAAAGACAGAGCCTGCATGAAATTATCCTATAGTAACTAAAGTGGAAACTTAAGAACATTTTTAATCTGCCACCACAGAACACAGAAAAAGTCTACCATAGCACTAACTTAAGGGCTAAGGATATACTCAGTGGTACAGCATGTCCCTAGCTTGCAGAGGTCCCTGAATTCAATCCCTAGTATTCAAAACAACAAACAAAACAAAACACTCACCTGAAGCCTTCCATCCAATGTTCTCTGTATGGTAACACATTTGCTAGGATGAGCTCCATTTGTAGTTATAGCTGTTATTAAAGAGTCCAATTCATCTTTTTTCTCCTTCAGCTTCTTTACTAAACTTTCAATTGCTCTTTTTGCAAATGTTTCACTTTCTCCACCCTGTCTATGGCACATCAAACTATGTACAATGCTCAAGCACGCATCATTACTTGTTGGAGTATTCGTAATAGACATATTGTCCATTTGTTCAAGTTTTTTCTTTTAGATCAAGTGTGTCTCCAATTTCCGGAGTAATTTTGATCTTTTTAAAGGCAGTAAAAAACAATAGCTAATGCTGGAAGGAAAATTGTTAGGCATCTGGTATTCAGGATAACCTAAAGAGAAAGAGGGAGAGAGAGACATATAATGAGAATACATTTCACAAAGAAGGTTCATTTATTTGTGAGAAGATAAAACTGCTACAGTGACTCAATGCGCACAGCTAAAAACTGTTGCTCAACAGTTCAAAATGACTGAATTAAAATGGTGCTATTCTTGACATTCCAGAAACATTAAAGTTAAGCCTTTTCATTAGTACAAAGGCACAATCAAGTCATCACAACTATACTAGTCATGCTAAAGCACAATCTTTACCTTAATTATTTGTCTCATCCTTTCTGTTCTCCCTGCCACTGTTAGTTCTGAGCCTTCTTAGAACATATATCAGCTTCTTGGTATTTAACCCTTACTTTCCACTAATGTGAACTCTTAAATCCTGTTTCCTCATCTCATGATAAGCCTCACACAGAGGAGCAATTTCTCCTATCTTTCAATACTTATCACACATTCAATAAATATACGTTGAAGGTACATTTTGCAGATAATCAAAGGGTTTGGAGTCAGAGATGGAGATTAGAATTTCAGCTTTTACAGTAAGTAGTTAGCTAAATGAAATTACTTAAACGCTGTATCTGGATTAAAAGAGGATAGGATATGTAGATCCCCCAAAAGAGAAAATATAAAATACACTGCACACAGTTTTCAGTAAAGTACTAAATACTAAGATATTTAAATTGTTTTTAAAAGATTATTCTAGAGCTGGGGACCTGACTGGCAAGTGTGAAGTCCTGAGTTCAATTAAAAAAAAAAAAAAAAAAAAAAAAAAATCCTAAAACATTCATTTTTCTACATTTTTATCTTATTTAAATTTATCTAAGGAAATGTAAGAAGGCAGTGATATAACTAATTATTCAGGACTCATAACTCACAAGCATACAAGAGGCAGGTAATTATACAAATAAAATGTGCCCCATGTACTGAGAAACACAAATGTATGTCCTTCTAAAGTGGGTGGCTACTACTCCCTTTCAGAAAAAGCATTTGAATATGCTAGCCCACTGCAAATACTTCAACTTAAAGACCACAACTAACGAATGATCACAGACATGTGCTATCTAACTTTAAAGTATCAGTGATTTACTTGTGGGGAAAAGGAAGAGGGAGAGGACCGAAAAGTACTACAAAAAAGAAAGAAAAACCACTGCGCATGTCAAACACACAAGTTCAACTGGAATCTGACTCCCTCCCTCAAATTTAAAATATATCTCTCTTACTATTTAGCACTTAAGTATTTGTTTCACAAATTTCAAAGTTGAAAACAGCAAAAAAATCCAAATGTTCAAAATGAAAACAGCAATTCAAATCTATAAGTACATTAAAACAGCAAAACCCTCATCATAAAAATTCCTAGCATCAGAGTTCCTGACATATACCAGAAGAGTGATTCTCTTAACAGTACTGAGGATGGAACAAAAGGCCCTGTGCATGTAGGCAAATGTTCCACCACTGAGCTCCATCTCCAGACCTGCAAATACTTTCATTAAACTCACTTTCTGTTATTAATATTCCAAAATATTTTTAATAATTTATAACAGAGTTAAGAGTGTTTGAGTACAGCTATTTCACCAGAAAATCAACTGTTATCATCTCTGAAATTTATGCGGAGGGGGTATTTCTCTATTATTTCTCTGAACACAAATAAAAATGACATTGCTTTATTAAACATAGCTTACTTGTAGTTGTAGTCCTAGACCATTAGTACCTGAAACTTAATTTATAGTTCCCTATATTAAAAACAATACCAACAGGGATGTACATATTCTCAGTAGCTTAAAACAAAGGTTTATTTATTTAAGCTATTTGTTCATCACAAATCAATTGGTAATATTCCTACATTATATAGCTCTGGATTACAGAAATGATAGTCATAGGCATGATATAAATAAAATTGTATGTTTCAATTAGTTCTAGATGCATGACTGGATCTGTTAACATCTCTCTAAATTGTCCCATGTATAAAATGGAACAGTATCTGCTGTGCTAACTTTATACACTTAGTGTTAATCAAATGCAACAGTGTATAAAAAAGTAATCTGGGAACCACAAACTAACTCAACAAACACTGTATCTATCATATGTAAAACACTACAGACACAAAGACAAGTAGGCATACAATCAGAAAGTGCTACTCAATTTTATTAGACCAACATCCCTTTTTATAACAAATGACTTAAAACATCTCCTTAGCTATCCTGAAACAAAAACCTAACTTACCCCTTTTAAAAATTTAACAGTATTCTAACTGTAAGATCAAGGGGATAAAGACTAATGTATCATAAAATGTAAATTTCAATATACAAATGACCAGCCATACTAACTAACTTAGAATGCATAATAACGAAGTCAAGAGGGTGGGGATTTAGCTCAGTGGTTCTGCCGCCTGCCTCACAAATGCAAGGAGCCAAGTGCTACCCCTCCACCCCCACCCCCCGCATACCAAAAAAGACAGAAGTCAGGGAAAGTTAGGCATGGTGGTGCACACCTATAATCTTAGTAACTGGGAGGCTGAGGCAGGAGGATCACTGCAAATTCAAGCTAGCCTCAACTATAGTGAGATCTAGTCTCAATAAAACCAAGAAGAGAAGGAAAGAAGTCAGTCAGGAGTCAGGGATGAGGCTCAGTGGTGGAGTGAGGCCCTAGATTCAATCCCCACCACCAAAAAAAAAAAAAAAAATTTAGATGCTTACACTTTTATGTAGAATTATAAATGCAAACTCAGATTTACAACTTACAAGTGTGTTGCCTTGGCAACTCCAACAACACAATGGTATGTTGGTGACATGGATTTTCTCAAATGGTGAACTCTTAATAAAGTTCCAAGCAAAACAACTTCAATTAAGAAACTGAATTAAGAGAAATTTAATTTCTAGAAAATTGAAGAAGATAAATAGGAAAGAAGGAAGAAAGAACTGGATCCTAGGCTAATTATATATTTCCCTCCTTCATAAATTTCGAGAGTATTTTAAAGTCTTGTGGGATGCAAGAAGATTTTGCTGTCTCTTGCAGAAAGGCATTCCTGGCCCCAACCCCAAAGCTCTTCTCCCAAATTTCTACAACACCCTTTAACAGTTATTTCTCCATTAAGAACTGCTGATCCTGGCTGGGAATGGTGGTGGCACACTCAAAGTCCCAGCTACTCTGGAAGCTGAGAAGGGAGAATCACTTCAGTCCTGAAGCTCAAGACCAGCCTGGAGACTCAGCAAGATCTCATCTTTTCTTTTTTTTTTTTTTTCTTTTTTTGGTTTTTTTGAAGCGGGGTCTTACTATATAGTTGAGACTGACCTGGAACTCACTACGCAGTCCCAGGCTGGTCTCGAACTCACAGTGATCCTCCTCAGCCTCCCGAGTGATGGGATTATAGGTGTGCAGCAAGACCTCATCTTTAAAATTAAAAAAATTAAAAAAAAGAAAAACCTCATCTAGAAAATCCAAACGTATTATCACACTAAGCAGTAAATGTTAAAAGATGTATGTATTGAAGTGATTTGGGATTACAAAGGAAGGTGCACATATAGTCCATAGGTAAGGTAAGAGTTGGCAAAATGTATCAGTCAGGACAGGGTCCAGCTTTTAGAGCTTTCAATGATACAAACAGCATGTGTGACACAGGTTCGCCACCAATGGGGTAGGCTATGTTGGTTGCAATTACAACCAACCCTCACATTCTCAGTAGCTTAAAACAAAGGTTTATTTTCTGGTTAAGCTATTTGTTCATCACAAATCAATTGGTAACACTATTCACTGTCATCTCTTAAGGACTGGGCTGTCAGAGGCTTCATGTCTACATATGTTCTTAAACAGCAGGGGAAGGGATAGGACAGCTCAAACACTGGCAATGTCTAGACATTTAGATAGTCATAACTAAAAAGGCAAGGTGGGAAACAGAATACTATTGGGCATCTAGAAGGTACAGGCCAGTGCCACTGCTAAACATCCTGCAATAAACAGGACAATCTTTCAAAACAATTACCTGGCCCAAAATGTCAGTCATTGTGGCCCATGCCTAGTTTCAAGAGTATGGGGAGGTTAAGGCGACAAAGAAGTACAACTTTACCAAATGGCAGAGGAGCCACTGAATACTGGTAGAACAGAACTAATGACTACCATATGTGAATAACAATTTACCGACCTGAAGGAAATCCATGGGGGGGCGGGGGGTCAGAGAGGATTAAGAGTCTAAGATTTTTGCCTAGGGTAGGGTCATGTTAAGAAAGGCAGGAGAAATAATAGCATTATTTGTATTGCATTGTTGTAGAAAGCTTTGGTGACATCAGAATTTTGGAAAAAAGAAATAAAACAAGATGAGACAATGAGAAAAGTGGTAAAGGCCTACTTCACCACTTTACCATATTAGGAACAGGGTCAGTCAATATACAGGGGGAAATGAGGAGATACTTTTGGGTAGAACAGACTGAATTCTATAATCAAATGAGTAAGGAGTGAAAAAGGAAAGAGTCAAAAGATGACCAATTTCCTAAAAAGGTTAACTGAATGATGAAGAAAAAAATTAAAGTTTTTAATGTGGTTATGTAACAAATTCACTCATAGGCCAGGGATTTACTTAGTGGTGTTGCAGCCTGCCTTGCAAGTGCAAGGACCTGAGTTAGAAAAAAAAAAAAAAAAAAAAAAAAGGTCTCAACAAATTCAGTCTTATTTAAGCTGAGTTTGAAGAGCTTAGTAGAGAAGTTAGACCTATTTGAATGTCACCAACATAATATAGGCATTAGGCATTAGACAAAGTCATGATAAGGATTAACAGGAGGTCAAGTCAGCAAATGAGACAAAGATTTGTTCTTATATCTTGCTATTGTGCTTTTCCTCTAGCTTTGCTATCAATCATAAGCTGTCAATTGTAAGCCACAGGCATGACAACAAAGCCATTAGCTTTGTAAGCAAAGTCATTAAAATATTCCCTAAAATTAAACAGGATTAGTATGAGTCTGAGAGGCTCTTGTGTAAATTCATAAATTTTAGTTAATGAACATTGACATTTATC